TTGTTTACTAGTTAATTGAACAATATTACGAACTTCTATAAGCTTCCGATGCTGTTATATTAAAGTCTAATGTAGTAGTTTACTATGTGGATGGTTATTTTACTAGCGATTTAACATAAGGCCTGCCCTATAATAAAAGTTTGCTCTATTAAAAAATTTTCCCCTCTTTTATGAGAGGGGGTTGACAAAAGGTCCCACTTTTCCCCAACCCCCAAGTAGCTATTCAATGTCCATCCATGTCACCACTGGCCACTGGACCCGTCACTCTCTCCGTCATGACCGAGATTTGGACGTTACCTGTTACCACCCAACTGTCAGCGCCGACGACATCCATTGCTACACCAGCATCCCGAACTACCGAAATGACTTCTTTTCTCGTCAACCACACATCACAGGCGGGTGACTGGAGGCGGCATTCCCGGCGACGGCAGCAACCTTGATGACGACGAACACTACCGGTACCGTGGCTGTCAAGCAAGAGGGGACAGAAAAAGGGGGAGAACAGGGTGGACGGGAGGGGGAGAGAGAGACGGAGAGATCCAGCGACGGGATGTTGGAATGGTACCCGAAAGAGACGACTTGCCAGTCCCAGTACCAGTGCTACGGATGGTCAACGGCCCCTTGCGGCTCGGTCACCTCTCGCGATACACAACCCCGACAGGCAATGGGCTATTCCCACCAGGCCCCCCGGCACCGATTGCTTGTCGGACATCCTGGCCCCCTGGACTCCGAGCAGTAGGAGGGAAAGCATGGAGCAAGGAGCAAGGAGCATGGCCTACCAGACCAGCAGCATCTCTCACATCGGCCAGCTGCGGGTTCACGCTGCCCTGCTGTTGTTGTGCTTCATCGAACTGCTGCTGCGAGTGTTGCCTTGTCGTTTCTGTCTCCGTCTCCGTGGCCTGTCCATCCATACTCGCCATAGCACACAGCACAGCACAGCACAGTTACGGCACACACACTCTCTCTCATAGAGTACCTGGCAGGTTTCCATGGCTGGGAACTCCATGTTGGGTTCTGGACCGGAAAAAGCAATCCAAGCTGCACCCTCGAGAGGATATGGAAAAATGGCATCCAGCAAGAGACTAGAAAATAACCACGTACGTCCGTATCAGCCACAGTCCAATACTGCTTGTTCAACCACACCTGCCCCCCATCTTGCCATCTTCTCCCAAGCCTGATCCCTGGAGAGAGACAGAGAGACCTCGAGAGACATACAGCCAAGACGGAACCCTCCAGTGCAGTTGCAGTTGCAGTTGATCCAGACCCAAATGCACACCAACTACCTTAGCAGCGGGTGGGTGGTAGTCTTTTTCAGCGGTCATGGTGCTAACGTTTGTTGAAGATGTCAACCCTAGTAGGAGACCCAACCCGTCCACCACAGGTCTAGTACAGCTACATACAGAACATGCAGCGAGAAGAGCGCCTCCCACCTTATTTGCGACGATGGCTTGCTGCTCCAGCCCGGTCCCCAGAGCCGCTGCCTTGAACCCTCATCCATACCATCATGGTCATGTTGGGAGTGGTGGCCAAGAGCAAGCCCCGTCCTGATAGTGCCGGCTTGCTTTTTGCTGGGCATGGGAGGATGCGCATGCCGTGGAGGATGATGCGCTGCGCTGCTGCATCTTGATCACTTCAGAGCTGGCTTTCCCGGTCTCATCCCTTCCTTGTCAAGTCAATTAACTGCACACCGGGATGCCTTTCCCAGGAACTACCGTACTCTGCGTACCTCATCTCCCCCTCGGGTACCGTTCTCGAGTACCCTTTTGCCCTTTTGTGCTCGCAGATTCAGCGGGCCTCCTTCCCGGCTGGGATATCATACCCAGTCAACGTACTCGCTGCAACAGAGCTCCCACTTGGACATCGGCTCTCCATCATCGGTTCCCTATATCTTGTGATCCGGCCCTCTCCTTCGTCCCAGAACCTCACCATCTCACCTGGCTATATCCTCCTCTGTCTTGTCTCGGCTATTGTGTCTGGAATCCACACAAACCACATCTTCTGCCAGGCTACCACCACGCTCTTTGGCCCAATTGCCCGACATCCGCTACATCCAACTTCCAACCAAACCAAGCATCTCACGCGGCTTTAGCGCAGGCAGAAAGAATACAGCACCCCCACTCTTCAATAGGATCTCGATTCCGAAAAGGCGGCCACCTGTGGATTGCGATTCGTCCTGTACGACCCGCACACCGCCTTCAAAACAAGTCCTACGCAGACAATGCGTGTCGCCTGCCAGTAACTAATCAACGACAAGGCTTAGAGCTACTGCTAGGTGGCAAGGATATCGTCTTTTTGCAAATTCGAGAGCGAAAAGATTCTCCGACAACATCGATATCCCAAAGTCAGCCGGTACGTTCCTTTTCCGGTCATGCCCCATTCCACACACTGTTGCATATTCCCACCCAACCGCTGCGCAGTTGCGTTGCTGCATCTCAACACCACTTGACGGACGCCTTGGGATTTGGCGCGCATTGGCATTGGCTTTTGGCGCAATCCTTTAGCGGCCGAGTCTTTGCGCTAGGAATTACACGCGCGCTTGGGTGCTTTCGTAATGACAGCAGCAGATGGGGTCCGGACGGGGCCCAATGTCCGGTCTCCCGAGTCGCAGAACGGAAGCTATTGTGTAATATTTTGACAGACAGACGGGGGGTCGCGGGCCAAGTACCGGCAAACTTCTGTCTGAAAGCAACCGCCTTTCCGCTATGGGATGGCATGAGCCCTAGCATGTAACCTCATTTGCAGCATGCACGGGGAGGCATGATCTTGTCCCTCCCACCGCGCAGTTGCAGCTCCCGTGGGATTTCCGATGATCTCCTTCTGTCAACCTTCTAGCACACCCAATCGCTTTGGACTGATGACTATGGAATGCTAACTGATCAATCAAGGCCATAGGCTGCCTCAAGCTACGCTCTTCTCGCAAGTCGTCGTAGCGCACCCTTCCCAAGCTGGACCAAAGACGCAGCATCACTCTTGGCACCGCTCATCGGATCGTGTACAGTCTGCTCCCTTTCTCGGAGCCCTCAAAGACCGAACGTATCAGTCCGTGGTACAAGTGGCGGGTCCCAAAAAAAAAAAAAAAAGAACCAGATATTGGCAGATAATAATTTGCCCATCTCCCTCCGAGGACGCATCACCATCATCGACCGAGATCTCGGTCCTATCTTGCTAGCGAGCCGGCAGATTGCAAGTACCTGCTTGGGATCACAGGGTTGAAATCACTGCTGCAGCATCAGCAGCTGATCTGGGATTGGGCCCACGAAGATCTACGCTCCCCGGTTCGTTCCCATCAGCAGCAATGTCCAATGATTGCCTTTGCTAATAACGCCTCGCAGACCCATTTATCCATCCCTGCGCCCAAAGCCCCAGGCGACCAGCCCTTCCGTTCCGCTTAACCATCCCCTGTTCAGCGACCCCCTGCTGTTGGCCCGCCTTTTTCAAACCCCCGCCCCTAGCTACGGCAAGTTCCTAGAGACCTGGCTACATTCACCCCCTCCTTTTGGGTGTGAGCGTCGTCCACTTACACGGCGCTAGTCTTCCTCATTCAGGTCAGTTTCCCCATTCCTCTCAGTCCCCTGCTTTTACGCTTGGATAGATCCTTGCCTTCTCACAATTGCCCACTCCGTCCATTTTTGCTTTTGTCTCTTGCAGTGCTTCTTTGGCTCTCTGAGGTCGTGTTGCATTTTATCAGGTACTTGCCTGTTGCTTTTTTAATGAGATTAAAATCTTTCCTTGGTATATGAACGAGCCTTTTGTCCGTGGCCCCTAGCATTTGCATATTTCGCGGCTAGTTGAGCCACCTCTTTTTTTCCCCGTCACCAGTCACATTCTGTCACTGAACTTGACCAGAAGAGGTCACTGGGTACGTTGACTTGCGAGCCAGAGAGGGCACACGGGCATTTGCTCAGTTGCCCACTCTCTGTTCCCCCATCCCATACTTGCCTCTCATCACACAGCACACCCCGCCGAGAGGTGATCTCCCCAATGTCCAATTACCCTTGCATGATTGGCATCTCCCCCCCCCCCTCCAAAAACAACACCATAACAATCTTGGATTAAACGGCGGGATCAGTCTGAGCTCAGACAACAGACCACCCCTGCCTGCCCGCTTCCACTCCCTCCCCACTCCGATCTACCTTGCCTTTCCGACATCGTCATCTGCCGGCTCAAGAAGGGTAAAACGCACAGGTTGGGCAGCTGCACACGAGAGAGAGCACACATCTATCATCAAGATACCCACTCGTAACTACAGACAGGGACAAGGTACCCTCTACAGCAAGGACATACGGAGTGGAGACGAGCCGGGCGGGTGATGCGACTTGCCGTCAGATTCACCTTCTTAGATCTCAGACATCCTTCATTCCTGAATCCATATTTGGCCCTTACCTTTCATTCTCCAACCTTCCCCAGTAATGTAAGGCCTTGGAGGTCCGTTCCCCTGATCCCTTTCCATCTCCAGTCTACACACATACTACAACACCCCGATCCCCCAAAGACAAGGAAAGCTTCTTAAACCCTTCAGAAACCAAGTGTCTCGTCGCTGTCTTGAATACCATTATCCACAAGCTCTCTCGTTTGATCGGGTACCTTTCTCCTCTTGATCTCCCTCTTTCTCACGGCCAACCGACGAACTGCACGCACGAGACCCACTGCGTCTGATTGCAAGTACTCTGACACTTCAACCATGCGAACAGGTTCGGGATAGTTGCATCAAATCAAATCTCAACCCAAGCATCAAGGATTCATTGTACCAAGGTAGCGCTTCCGACGGTTACGGCTCATTTCCGCCAGTCGAACAACCAGCAAATAAAGTGCTAGTAACTTTGCTGTACGTCCATCTCTCTGTCTCCTTTTATTACTGTCATTCCGTCTCTCCAGTTGGGCCCCAACACCCGTGCTAATTTGCCTCCACTGCTAGCATCCATCACAAACTCATCACATCTCTCCACGCCGCCCCGCGAAAATCACCCATCACAATCTACAGTCATCTCAAATCAGTTTGAATGTCGGCCCTCAAGTTCCAACAGCCTGTTTACAAGGTGTACGAGGTAAGTCAGCCTTTGAGTCAATACTTACCCGACAGTCCCGCCACCCGCCTCTCAGCCTGAAACTCGAGGCTAACACATGTTCTCACCTTGACACAGCCCGGCTATCATCCACAACGGACCATAATAGTCGACGAGCAAATCGACTCTCCGGAGACACTGACGATTCGGTTAGAGGAAGAAGCAGCACGCAACGGTGGGGACCTTGGCGGGAATTCCCCGAATGGTCTCCTGCCCATGGCTGCCTACAAGACTCACCTGCAAGGTGTGTGCCTACTATCCATACTACTTACTGCCTATAATCTGGACAGGTGCTAATGCGGTCACGTTTGCCTGTAGGGTATGCAGAGTCCACATACCCGCCATACGCGTCGCAGCCCTTTGCATCACAACAGAACGAAAATGCCGCTTCCATTAACCAGCTTGCCTTTGCGGCCAACAACGCCGTAACAGGTCAATACCTACCTCAAACAGGCTCAAACATCACAGTCCTCTCTTGCCATCCAGTCACTGGAACGTACGGCACGAAGATCACTCTGCGGGTCTCCAGTCAATACGACATCCTCTCCGGGACCATGGCAGCATCAACAACACCATACGTCTCGATCACCTTCGGATCTCAAAGATGCCCAGCGCAAGTTCAGCGAGGGTCTCCAGATGCGAACGGCTCCTGCTCTTATCTCGTCACGGCCGACGCGCCCGAATTCTTGTCAACAGGATGCCCATCGCTTAGCAATGTACCGCTATCTTTGCTTGTCGAGACTGCGAATGGCAGTGAAATCGCGCGGGTGCCGAATGCCGGCATCTTCTCCTACAGCGATGGACAGGGTGGAGTTGGTAGTATTGGAGGTTCCGGTGCCGGTAGCCCGCCTGACCTAGGTAGCCCTAAAACTCGGTCACCCGCCCACCGAGCAAGCCCACCATCTCACGGCCTGCATCTCCGAACAGATGCCGTCAGCCCAACAACACACCATGGAATTGAAGGGGATTCGACCACAACTACCTACGGATTCCCTCCTGGCGTCTCTCCGGCTAATGCTGTACAAGCCCAGACCTACGGTCAGAACAGCAACAGCATGCTTGGGCCTTATCGAAGCGCGTCCTTCTCTGAGCAGTATTCCCGCGCAGGGCCAGTCTTGCGGTCGCCGCACGGCACAGGATGGGGATTTGGCGGACCCATGGAGTCGATACGCAGCCCGGCAACAACCATCCCTCATACCTCCCACACTGGACTGACCCGGACGAGTTTGTCGGGTATCAGCTCATCATCTAACGCACCAACCCTCACAAGGACAAGCACGATTCCTCAGCAAGGGGGTTCTGGTGGACATGGGGGTGGTGGTGGCGGCAATGGGTACGGATACCCCCTGTATCAGAACAAGGCCACGCTCAACATTGTGGGTGACCTTGGGTCGATGGCGGAGAACTGGACCCAGGAAGAATTTGAGAACAAGCGGAGGATTGTCATGTTCGACAAGTCGCAACACGGTGCGGTTCTCACCACCAGGTTCAAGCCCGTCAACGTATCGGAGAGGCCTTCGGGCGCCATCTGCATCAGCTGCATCTGGTGGGCTGAAAAGCAGGAGTGCTATGTCACATCGGTGGACACCATCCATCTACTCGAGCAGCTAGTTGCCGCGCCCAACCGGTTCTCAGTCGAGGAGAGGAACCGAATCCGAAGGAACCTCGAAGGATTCCGCCCTTTGACGGTCAGCAAGCAAAAGCCAGATAGCGAGGAGTTCTTCAAGGTCATCATGCAGTTCGGTAACCCAAAGCCGAGAAACATTGAGAAGGATATCAAGGTTTTCGCGTGGAAGATCCTGGACCAGGCATTGAAGAAGATTATCTCCAAGTATAGCACATCCCCATCGGCCTTGAGCATGCCCGCCGCTCCATCTCCTAATGGTCCCCTGTACGGCCTACCACCCACACCAAGCTCTGTGTCGTCTGCCGATCAGTCTTCAACGAGCTATATGGGTGGCGGTCACCATCTCGCCGACTCACTGGCAAGCCCGAGGCCTCTTGGTGGCGCCTCCTCATGGGCACCGTATGGCACTTCCGGCAGGACCATGTCGCCATCACTAAAGACCAGTTCCCCCATGTCAGTGCCTGGTCTTCGCATCTCGACCCTTTCGGGCGTGTACGACAACAGAGGATCCACACAAAGCCTTGCATCGCCATACGGTATGACGAGCTCAACACACCATAGCCCCCATACGCATCACCCCCAGGGCAATTATGTACAGTCCGGGGTGTCGGTATCACAGGGACCGCGCGCATGGGATTCCAGCTATGGTGTGACCGATAGCTATGCCGCCGCGCAAGCCAACCATACCCATGGCCATGTTTATGGTGGCGGAGCCTATGGGGACGTACACCGCGCCTAAACCGGCAGTCCGATGCGATATGGCCTTTTCTGCCTAGCGACCAGGAGGCCAGGTGCAAAAGGCATCTCTGGGCATTTTGTCGGCGAACGCGGAAGCTAACGGCCACCCGTGAGTCATTTGAACAGCGGTATTGCAGTGGGGTTGCATTCAGTGAGCGATGATACGAAGCAACCTCCATGGCGACCTTCAAACGACATGGAAATCTTGATATCAAATACCATGTCTACAACCTACTGGGGCGATCTCCAATCCGATATTCGCATCTTGCCATCTTCAATCACAAGAATGTTGGCTGCCTCAACAACCAAGTCCCATGCGGAGTGTTTCCTCCTCTGATACGGCATTCTGGGAGTGGAGTGGGAAATGATCAGCTGGTTGGTGGCATCCACCAATCACGGTGCGACTCGACTCACCCTTCTCGGAGGCCAAGGCATCTCGGGGGTATCCCGAGGACATTTTTGCATCCTACCTTGGCGTTCACACTGGGCTTTTGACATCGATGTCAAGGAATGCCGATAATGGGGGTCGAGCAATTTCATCAGTATGACGGTCGCATTGACTTCCATCCAGCATGTTGTCGCTTATCTACCCGAATACCGAGGTGGACTATCATCGGTGTTGAATTTCGGCATTTCATCTCAGCTCCAAGCAAAGGTTCAGCTGTCGTCCTATTTCGATTCTTCAAAGGTGGTGTGCAAACCATGTCCCCGTGGGTTGGGTGTGTGACATGCATGGCATAGCATGACATGCTCGGTGCCGTCTTGCAGGTAGTCTAATCTGCCTTTCTGCACACTCCTGCACTCCTGTTTCTTGCCGGGTATCGAAGAGCACTACTGCATGTCCAAGGCGAGGCGCAACGGGGTTTACGGAAAGCAAGCAAGCAAGCAAGCTGCCACTGCTGGGCGCACCGTCGTGCATACCTACCTCTACTCGTACTAAGGGTGGACAATGCGCGCCTGTCAATTGTCAAAGGGGACTCGCATAGTTTGCCCGATCGCACCACCGAGCCTAGCAAGGTGGAAAGCGGTGATGCGCATCGCAGTACAACTTGCACAAAGCCACAAAGCAATCGGCGGTGCCGTGTTTGACAGACAGCCTGACAGACGGCCTATTTAGGCCACCTAGGTGTGGAAACCGGCATTCGGCCCCAAGAGGACGATGTCGGTGTCTGCTGAAAATGAGAGGTACAAGATGCGCAAGATGCAACAGGATGTTGTGTTGCGATGATGAGGTACCGTACTACAAGCTTGTACTGGGCTGGGCTGTGCTGTGTTGCGATGGACCACCACTGGACGATGGTCACTTTTCCTTTTCTGTACTACTGACTGCTTCTTCGCTTTCTCTTCATGTTTTGTTATTTGTTTGGTTTATGCGACTGGTGGTTTTTGGGGACTTGATATACCCTGCTTTTGCTTTTGCATCTTTTGCTCATACTCATGGAGATTATCGGATGGTTTGGTTTACTTTGCTCTTTTCATTTTCCCTTTCCGGCGCGCATGGGGATTTTCGGATATGCAATTTTGTTTGGGAATGGGTCAGAACGGGTGGCTTCCTATGGTTGAACTGGATGGAACTTTGTAATTGAGCCGATCAATAGTTTCATACGATGTGTACTCTAAGCACTGATAAGGAGGTTTTGGTGTTTGGAATTAATTCATAAGATATCTTCAACATTCGCCTTCCTTGCAGTTTGCCTCATGAACCGTGAACCGTAAACTGTAAATTGTGAATCGCATGCACTACCTAGTCATCGATTTTACACTACTGGCTCGCTGGAATCTAAGGATCCGGGAAGTGGGACGGGGGAAACAGGTCCGGAAGCCGATCCGATCCGCGTTCAGTGGTGTAGTTTCTCCAGATCGGATCGGCTCCCGTCCTCGGCGGCGGACCCGGCCGGCCCCACCGAGTCACCGATGGTTGATGCCCGGATTTTTCATTCCGCTCATCTACGCGAGTCCGTGACCTTGCCGCACGCAGGCTAAGCAAGTTGAAGAAAAAGACCAAAGAGTCTGAAATTGAATAGCTCCAGAAGTGGGAATAAGAAGAGAAACATATTAACAGAATGAGAAAAGAGAAGAGAGAGAGAGAGAGAAACGAGAAAGGAATCGGGCAAGTAAGTGCTGGTCACTTTTCCCCGAACGACACGACGGGAGGGCGATTGCGAGGGACCGTGGGGCAGTCACTAACACCGGTATGTGGATCCCCTATCGTGGAGCACTTTGCACTGCTGTAAACTGAACAGTGTGCTATAGCCGACCTTTTTCAGCGTCCTAATTGATTCCGCAGCGGGCTGTAACTTTACCACGGCATGCGCTAACAGTTTTTTTTACAGCGTGCAATAACTGATACAACCTCAACAGGAGCGTGCAACAACCGCCCCAACGCAGCCCGGGCCTTTCCGAGCCCTTTTGTCGAGATCGATCTCCTGAGAAAGAAAAAGAAAAAAAAACACGGAAGGGACACTACACAGTCATTTATCAATGGGCCACGGTTTCCATCAGAAGGACACTTTAAGCAAAAAGCCGAAGGCGACTAATTGAACCATTGATGTTCCAATTCCCGGGTCTATGTCCGGATTTCGAGCGCGACAAGGGCGTCAAATCGGGGAGTGCCCGACTGGATGACATGATCTTTTTGACGCTAATACCGTGGAATGGATATTCGCTATATCGAACCTTCACGGGGATTCGGATCCGTTCTCATACAAGCTATATTCAAGGCAAGGCAGCGCGGCGGTTTCCATTCCATTACCTTACCTTTTAACCCCCCTACAGGGCAAGTATCGCACGGCAAGGCAGTATTGGGCGTAGGAAAATAAGATGTGCGTTTTGGGCTCTTATGAGTGAGATCTGTCTTGATGTGATTTATCTTGATGTCTCTGTCGCATTACCAACAGCCGTCAACCAGCGGGCGGTGTCAACTCAACACCGGGTCTGGCAATAGCAGGTATTAGGAACCAGACGACGACAGCCGTTTGAATGCAAGTAACAGGGAGCGATCAAAGGTCTCAATCTACCTAGGTAGCGCATCGTGATCTGTGAGGTTACGAGATGCTTGGTCAACCTTCTTCAGTAATTTTGTATTTAGTCTCGACCCTCTATCATGGCATTCCATGTTGCCATAATAACGCGGTCACTGGTCGATGTTGGATGACTTGAACTTCTTCATGCAGCGGTTTCGACATGCAAAAACGGATCTTACTTGACTGCATTGCGCTACCATATGCGTGTGCTCCTCCCATGTGCTATCTGACTTGATGAACGAAGATAAAAAGAAAATGGCATCACTCATAACTCCTGATGTGCATCTGTAACTAGAACTAGGTAACAACCAAGAACGCAAGCTCGCAAGCGAAAATGATGAAAACACTTAGAACTCGCTCCAAAAGATAATTGAAAGAGATGAAAAGATGAAGAAACAACCGAAAAGCAAAAAAGGCCGCCCATATGCTGCGACAAAAGAAAAGAAGAGTGCAATGTCCAATATCCAACCACAATTGCCAAACCAAACATCCTTCCAAATAGCTCAAACCGTGAAATCAAATCATCGTCATCCGCAAAAGATCATCAAAATCGTTACCCCATCCCATCACCGCCGTGCCTTCCACCCTCATTACTGGGCCCGTTCTTCCCATGCTCACGAACTGCTCACGCTATTCCGCTTGCTCCTCCCCGACATCCCCCAAAGACTCCACGAATCGCTTCGAGTCTTGGTCTTTGGCTTTGGGTCTTGTTGCGCTGCTGTCTTTCCGCCGTCCTTCCCTGCGTCCTTTCCATCTGCTGCTCCTGGCCTCTTCCCATCAGCTCCCTTTCCTCCTGACCAGAGCCCCTTCCCACCCCCAGCAGTAGTTGTTGTCGTTGTTGTCGCAGCCGGCGCCGATTCCTCAGCTTGTCCCTGAACTTCCGTAACAGTTGCAATCGGAACATCCCCCTTCCCTTTTGACCCTTTGGTCCCGTCCCCATTTGCATTTGTATCGGAAGAAGCGGCGTTGAAAGCGGCGAGAGGGGGGTTCTTGGCAATCGAGGGGATTGTAGTGGTAAAGTAGCAGTGGTGATCTCGGCGTTCGGGGCGTTGGGATTACTCCCACTACTCCCATCTCCAGGACTCTCGATAGGCACGGATGGGGTCTGTACTTGTGTGTTACTACCAGATTGTTCGCCAAGAAAAAACTGCTCGCCTTCACCTGGAATCTTGTTGGAGGTGGCGGTGGTGGTGGTGGCGGATGGTGTCGAAGCTGGCACAGGTTTTGTGACGGCAGTTTGGCCGTCGCGGTTGACGGAAGCGACTGAGGGTGTGCGGGACTTGGTGGTGCGGCGCTTGGGAGGGATCGCGGGCGGTTGCTCGGAGGTCGCTTCGGTAGAGGTGGGCTCGGTAGGTTCGGCGGGCTCGGTCAGGACGGTGGACGGATCGTTGACGGCGCCATCACTGGTGCTAGCCTCGTTGTTGGCCGTCTCCTTAACGGGGCCGGCGACGGAAGTGACCGCATTCAGAGCCTTGTTCAGGGCTTCATCCGCAGCGGAAGCAATAGCGGTAGCTTCGTTGGTGATGGCTTCCTTGACGCTCTCGATAGTGTTGTTCTTCACGTCGTCCGTTTCATCCTTGGCCTTTGTGTCGATCTCGACCTGGTCGTTCGCAACCAGCTTGTCCTGCTCCTCCTCATTGGCCTTGACATCAACCCCTCCACCATGACCGTTCACCTTCCCATCGCCATCCCCAGAAACATCGCTCCCTTTCCCGGCACTACCACCATTACCATGTGCCTCCTTGCCGTCCTTTCCATCCTTTCCTCCGGCCCCGGGAAACAACCAACTAGCTGCACCCCAGCTTCCGCTGCCGCTCCCACTTCCATGACTTCCCGCTACGTCCGTTCCGCCAACTGCAGACTTCACTGCCTCGGGAATGGCCCTTGGTACGGCAGCCGCGGCAGATGTAGTCGCGGCAACTACCGGCGGGGCTGGTCCATGCGAAGCACTCGTGTTCCTCCTCTTCTTACCAAGTGGGAATCCCCATCCGGACTTGCCAGTGCTAGTTTGGCTCTGGCTCAGAGCCTGGATGGTAGCGTCGTTGGTATTTGTTGACGAGGAAGTAGACGGTCGTAGTTCGGGATCGGATTTGACGGAGTTGAGAGCTCGTTGGGTTTGTTGATTTGGTTCGGCGGCGGTGACAGAAGTATGGGACTCGGTGGTCGGTTGAGTGGAGGGTAGCTGGGTCTTGGACTGGGCAGCTTCGGAGTTGGGTTGGACAATGTTAGCTTGGGGAAGTTGCTCTGTGTTAGAAACGGACGCCGAGGTGGAGAGGCCCTTGATGCTGGCCTTGCTGGCCTTGGACGTCAGTGTCTTCTTCGTGTCGTCCTTCTTGCTCTTGTCCTTATCGGCGACCTTCTTCTTGTTCTTCCGAACTCCAAGCCATGACCCCCAACCTGTGCTACCTTCACTGGGTGTCTGCTGTTCTGCCGATTTATCATCTGCCTTGGTTGAGGGAAGAGGGATCTTGGATGGCTTCGACTGAGACTCCGTAGCTGGTGTTGACTTGGAGATAGGCTCAACCGGCTTGAACACCAAATCATGGGCATCAACAAGCGGTGCACCTCCTCCCGGAGTCTCAGGTTCCTCGCCAACAAGTTCAACCTCGCCCGAAAGCACGATAATCTCACCAGGTACTTCCTGTGCCGGCGTCGAGAATACTTCACTCTCCGCCCCTGGAGTCTCACCAACAGTAGTTGGATCGACCTCAACAGGCCTGTCAGCAGCAAGCTCATGAAGTCCTTCGACAGCACCCACATCAACCGGCGGTGGTAGCGTAGCCGTAGAGTTCTGGTACTCCACAGCCGTCACCGCCACCGAGCTGGAAAGAGTATCAATCACCGAGGCCGACAGGCTTGGGTTGGCAAAGTTAATGGTCGAAGCTGATGGAGTGACGTCCTCTGGGATGGTGGGAAGGGTGTCGATGATGGCACCAGTAGGGCTGATGATGTGTGTCTGGAGCTCGATGGGTGGCTGAAGATCGAGGGTTGGTTGGTCCTGGACGATTGGCGTCTGGTCGACAGCGGTTGCTTCCGGTTGGGCCTCACATGGAATGTCCTTCGTTTCAGATTGTTGTTCCTCGGTCGTTGGTTGAACCGTGTGGTGCTCCACCACTGGCTGGGCCTCATGTTGCACCTCATCCCGTGCCGGTTGGGCGACTTGGGCCACGTCCTCGGTGTTGGTGTTGTCCTTGTCATCCTTGGGCACATCCTGCTGTGTAACTTCGGGCAGCGCTTGGGCAGCGGCAGCCTCTGGTGCAGCCTCACTTTCCCGCGGTTGCGGTTGGGTCTCAGGCTCTTGTTCCACGACAGGAGCACCACCACCACTAGCAACCTTGGAACTACTCTTCTTCTTCTTGGTGGTCTTTTTCTTCTTCGGCGAGCTGGCGGGCTCCGTGGGCGCATCCGATTGGCCCTCAAGCGCCAATGGCTCCGGGCTCGTTTCAGGCTCAGGCTTCTGCTCGGACTTTGGGGCAGGAGCGAGTGCCTGATCCAAACTCAGCGGCTCGTCCTTGGGCTGGTTTGCCTGCTTGCTGGAGCCCCAAGGCCAAAAGATCTTGTAAGCCGGTTGCGGTGGAGATTGCGGTGGTGATTGCAGAGAGGAACGGATATCCGGACTGGAAGGGCTGGAGGTAGGAGGTGGGAGAATTCCTGTAGGCTCAGGGGAGAGTTTGGAGTCTTTGCGGTCTCTGGTGGTCTTCTTCGTTGGCTTTGCGGGACCGGGGCGTGAGGTAACTTCCTGGGGCGTTGTCTCCTGGGGCGTTGTCTCCTGGGGTGTTTCCTGGGGTGTTTCGGCTGGTGTTTCTGCTGAAGGAGTGGCCGTCTCTGACTGAACTGGAGCTGTAGACTCTCCAGCGGGCTTGACGATCTTCTTCTTTGTCTTGCGCTTCTTCTTGGGAGACTTGGGGCTGCTGGTAAGCTCGTCGATGGGTGTCTGTTCCCCAGGTGTCTGTCCCTCACTCACTGGTTGAACGGGAGTTTGCGGTCGCTCCTTGATGCTCTTGAGCACCTGCTTTGCCTGGTCGTACGCCGACGTCTGAGTCTGTGGTGTCTCAGAATCGTGAGGCCCCTGTGGTGCCTGATCAGACACTCGTGTAAGCTCGTCTTCAAATGCAGTGTTCTTCTTCGCAGCCTCAGGCAAATGAACTCCTCCGGAAAAGATCTCAACAGGTGCCGCCAGAACTCCCGTACTGCCCGATTGCCCCTTGTCCTCCTCTGAATTTGAAAATGTCAATGACTTGTTCCGATCCTTGCCTTCATCATAAGACGGTGTCCAGTGCCAAATACCTTTTGCAGGTTTGTCCTTGGTTGCCTCAAGCGAGAGAGGCTCGGGTGGCGCAATGTCTCGGGATGGGGTCTCGGAGGGCGTTGCGTTGGAAGAGGCGGCGACAGGCATGACGGGCGAGAGAGTTGCCGATACTCGCTTCTTGGCTTCGGCCAGCTTGGCCTTCCTCTTGAGGTTTTTCTTGCGGTTCTTGCTGGGGCTGCTGGGGCTGGCGGTTACGGAGGCAGGGGAGTCTTCGGCGTGGGAGTCGAAGATGAGGTCATTTTGAGGAGTCCTAAGGCCTTCGGGTGGCGTCTGGATGCTCTCCCGGGGTTGAGGTGTGACGGGACGTTCGAGCTCCCTTTGCGTGGAGGTGTAGACAAGACCCTGCATGGGTGTGCTGATGGTTTCGTTAGGTGTGCTGAATGCTTCCTCCTCTTTGGTATCCAACTCCGGCTCCGGCTCCTTGATCTCCGGCTTCTTCTGCTCAACTTGCGGCTCCAGCTCTTTGTGCTCGGGCTCCTGCTCCGGTGCGACCTCCGGCTCCGTGTGCTCAACGTGCTCAATGTGTGGCTGTTCGTCGTGTTCCACTTCCTTCTGGGCATGTGCAACCGGGATTTCCTGCTCTTGTTCCTGTCCTTCCTCCATCTTCTCTGTCGGAACATCATCATCAACAACAGCATCCAATGGAAGCATGACCGGCTCCTCCGCCTCTGGCTCAGGCTCCAGTATTGACTGCCTATCTGGCTCGTGTTGTAGATCTCTCTCAATGGAGAAATCTGGAGAGAATTTGGGAGAGAGTTCTACAGCTCCGTCGGTAGCCAGTTCATTGAATTCAGCGGGCTGCAAACCGAGCGCGGCTTCCAACGAAGGAGAAGTGGCAGGGGGTACCCACTGGTCCGCTTCGAGCTCCTTGACCTCGTCTTGTCCGTGGGATTCGTGTCTGGGAGACTCGGATCGAGGTGGAGGGGTAAATGGTCGGTAGATGGTGTGCTCGTGTTGCTGGACGGGTGCAGCAGAGGTAGCGGAAGTGTCGTGGAAGTCGACATGCTTGGTCTCGGTAGTGATGGAGAATATCTCCTTCGTAATCTCCACTTCGGCAGGTTGGGGAAGGGGCTCTTCGACGCCGAGACTCTCGACTTGTGTTGTCACTCCGGTCGCAAAGTCGTCTGCTGGCTCGTCGATGTCCTGGCGAGGCTTCTTGTTGGAGTTCATCTCCTCATAAACCTCCAGCAAGCCCTTCATGAATTTTCTTGCCAAGGCCATACCTTGTGTTGTTTCCTGCTGGCCCCGTGTTTCGTCCTCTTCTTGAGCTCTCAAAACCCTCCCGGGGTCTTGAAATGCCTTCCTGGCCCATCCCTTGGCGAACTCGTCCAGCCAATGATCCTCGCCGTCTGTTGGTTGTTGTTCCAGAACTCCAATAACGGTGAAAGCATCCAGTCGCCCACCCAGCTCGAGCATTTCCTTCTTGGCCAGCTGCTCCAATCCGCGAAGCTCGTACTTCTTTGCGGCTCCATAAACCTCCACCGACGTTCGGAAGCGGCTCACAGTCAGTTGGCGTTCCGGGATCACGGGCCATCCGGTGTATCGAAGGGTGTGGTACTTCTCTGGCGAGTAGAGATATTGCACCAGGACGTGGCCGGCTTGTGGGGAGATGTCGGGGAAGTTGATGACATATCCAGAGGTTCCCGGAGACAGAGGAGTAGATGAAGTGTTGTGTTGTTGGGATGAGAAGTAGGAAGCTGTTCTGGAGAGGGATCTGTGCCCTTGGGAAGGACTCATAGCTGGGGAGGTGATAGGGGAGGCGATAGAGTTGGTGATGCAGAGAAGGGCGAGGAGGGAGTGTTGCTCGAGAAGGGCGCGGTGGACGAGAAGAGGGGCGCCCGTTGAGAATTGGAGGGCTACGAGAGGGGTTGTAAAGGGTCTGTAAACATGGGGAGAGTCAGTTCCCTGTGGTTGTAATGTTGGTAGGAATGGGATAGGGTAAACATACGAGATCTCGAAGCCATCCTGGCCGCCTTGCTTGATGCCGTTTGAAAGCCTTCCAGAGGCCTTCAGGTCATGTTGCTGACCTCGAGGGCGAACTGTGCTCGCCATGTCGATGGTGAAGCGGGGTATCTGAATCCGAAGGAAGTGTTGTCCAGCGAAGTGACAAAAGAAGACTGACTCCTCAAGATGAAGAAAGATGCAGTAGGGTCTGATACCCAGCAAGAAAGAAACAGTTCTTGATGATGCGGATGTGGGGAATGAAGACAGAGAGAAGCCCAGACAGGAAGCAAGAAGAGGGGAGCGAGACTCGACGACAGTTTTATTCCTCCTCCATATCCTGCCCTTTCCCAGTCATCTTCCCCAATGTTTGCTCCGATGTTGATGACCAGCCGCATGCGCTGAGCTGTCTCCAGTCTCAATCACACCAAGCAATAACCACTCAACCCACGAGGTCGGTTCGGAAACCCATGGCATGCCAGTGCCAGGCTCGGCTTGAATCCCTGACACTTTTTTGATATGGACGCACTGCATCGATACCCAACAATCCCGCGCTTGCGTCGTCGCGCGGTTTGGTCCATCGACGCCCTACCCAGACAACGGTCCAAGCCAAACAGCGCCCGGAATGCCGTGATCCCTCAATATCCCCCTCAGACCTGGCCGGCCAGTCAGCCCCAAGTGGGATGATTCGACTGCGGGGTGCCAACACAACGTCAACAAGCAGGGTGCCGCGTCCACCAATCAGACCCCGCGGAAGCACTATGCCGCACGACACAGCTTCATTGGCGTGCAGTAGACTACGGCGAGTACGGAGACTACGTGCAGCGCTTCCCCGCGCCAACCTATGATCGTCACCATTGTCCTCTTGCATCCTTCCACCATCAACCGGGCTAATGCATCCTCTCAATCGCTTGCTTTGATGCCCTCAACAATCTTTGGCGTGGTGATGTCAGGTGAGAAGCCGACAGGCCTTTTTGTCGGATTGTCTCTCACATGGGGTCCATGGGGATCCATATGAGGTGCATATCGAGGGTTGGGTCTCGGGTGCTTGTCCCTGCTCTGCACGTTATCTCTCGGAGTTTTCACAAAGCATGATCACGGTAATCGTGAAAATCAGGGTCTCTGATGCGCTACCCAGCGCTAGCATCTCTCGATAGCGTGAGCAATGTAAACAAAGCAGAGCTTGGTTATCTCTGATCTGCAAATACCGCAAGCACATGATTCGGAGTATCCATAGCTCAGCCCATGAGGAGGAACATCTCCTCACTTTGCCACTCGTCGTCGTCTTGTTGTCGGATAGTCGTGCCGCCCGATCGCGAGGAGGCCTGGGGGGTATCCGTCGGCAAAATCCCGATATGATGGTCGCGCTTCGTTGAAGATGATATATCGTCCTTGCCAGGTTTCATCGTTTCGATGGCTTGTTCTGCTCCAAAGATTTTGAATTCTCTGCCCAAATTCTGTAGTACTTTAACGAGGCCATCGCGGGCGACAAGGCTTTGGTACGAAAGGTTGGTTATATCGTTCGACGTACTGTGTGTGAACGTTGATTGACTTGATTGATATCCGTAAGTGTGTCGGTTCTCAGGGTTAAGCTAAGTCTGTTGGTGATCTCTCGTGCGTGGTACCTTGGAGGACGTGGCGCAAAGTTTTCGAGTGTCTCCGTAGCCTTCCCGATGTTCCTGGATGTCGCACTCATCAGAAATTGTATTCCATCTTGGGGGACAATGATCTGAGCGTCGACGAATACCATGCCGAAACAATATTGTCCGAGGTGCGGAACTTCCAGTATAGGGACTAGAGTGTTGGTCGACGATGATTGTACGAGAGAGCGACCCAACAAAAGCTTTCGCACTCTTGATGGCCAACAGTCTTCCTCTCTGACAGGCGCTGGAGTCAAGGGAAGGAAAGGATGATTGGCGCAAAGAATGGCGCCGTTGATCAGACTGTGGTTGACATCGTCTGCATTGGCAATTGCCTGTTTCTGTCTTCTTGTTCTCGGAGTCGGGGTTGGCAGGAGAGGGGATGATGTCTTTGCTCCCTTGTCGGTATGTTCTTTGCGCGCATGTTGTAGTCGGACGGTGTAGGTAGTGCCTAGTATCGTCAAGACGCTTTGGATTGCTAACCGAGTTTTGAAGGGATTCGGCAAGGTGCAATCTGTTAAGATTCTCGGAGGAGTGATCGGAGCGGTGGAAAGAGCATTTGGTCAACCTCACTGTGTTGGCGGCTTCGGTGGAAAACTGGGAGCGGTCGTCAAAGGAAGATTTGTCGCGAAAAGCTTTGTGTAGTCGATTGGATTGTGCTCGGGCGCGGTTCGTGCTTTTCGCCTTTCGTCATTACTGTGTAATGCCCCCGTAGTTGGCGTTCTGAAGATGCTGTCCTGCATCTCAAAAGAGGAAGCAAAAAGCATGTGTCAGAGTGGCCTGTGCAGACTGCAGACGGACCCGACCCAAGTACCTTGGTAATGGGTGCAAGATTGGCGATGGTCACACCAATCTCAAGACAGGTCAAGAAGAGAAAGGAGCAACAACACTCGGCGGATTCACAGCAATTCTCTACCAGGTTGTCTCCTTCCACCTTGCACAAAGTCCGTCATCTTCCCAAGAAGCTCGTAAGGGTCTTTTGTCTCTTTTCCTTCCCACTTTTTGATTGAAATGTATATCGTGCGTGGCTCAAGGAATGATGGACGTTTCTAACCCGTCACCTCGATCCCAATGCTTATGGAAGAATAAAGAGGCAATCTGCCCGACCACAAGCTCAATCCCCAATGAAAAAAAGCAGAAAAAAAACCACAAGAAAAAGTGAAAAGGGGCAAAAAAAGATTGTGCGAACTGGGATTCGAACCCAGGCCTTTCTCTGTTCCCTGGTATTTGTTCCTCCCCCCAGTCCCCGTCTCAGACTTGTGTCTCTACAGGTGTGAGTCGGTGCCGTTTTCGGCACTGAAATGGGGTGCCAAACCCTATAGGGAGCGAACACGCTGACCACTGCGCCAACCGCAATTTTTTCTTGTTGTTGAAAGTAGGGAAAAAGATCTGATACATGTACCGCGAGGTAGGGCACATGTGGTCTATAGTAGCGCATCACGAGCGTAGCATGGCCATCAGATTCTTGAGGCTGTTTGCTAGTAGAGAGCATGAGCAAGAGCCTTGAATATTTGACTCGGTCATCTAGTCGTGGTGAAATTCAAACGCTGATGGGTTCCTTCCTCGTGGTACTTTGCCTCCTCTCTCTTCGTGTTGAAGTTGAAAGGCGTACCCCATTCCCGTTCAAGTCGTACTGCCTCGAAGTCTCGGACCAGGCCGCGCTTGCAACCATCATGTACTGCAGGCGCACTCGAGCCGCGTTAGCATCTGCATCCGAACATCTGCAGTTAATCTTACTCGCCCCGCTTGGTGTTGTTGACTTTGTTGACAAACTCTGTGTAGCCACCATCGTTGAAAGCACACCCCGTTAGCAGAGCTTCTTCCTCCCATTCCTGCCGCTGCCCGCACAATTCTCCCCAGCTTCATCTTCTCGAGCAGAACACCTTCCGCTTAACATATCCTCTTGCGCAACGACAATATCGCGCACAACCTCTTCACCTCGATTTGTGAATCTTTGCCAGCCCGATATCCTGTTTTTATCGATCTGCAGTCAGTCCCAAGCACCAAGGACAGCCGAGGAATGACTCTCCAGGAATGGCATCCTCGAGATTCGTCTCGTGGTTCTCTCCTTGTCAATCAAGCCATAAAGATTGCGTTCAGAAACCGACTTCAGTAAGACCGACTGCCATTAGCTCCTCGCTCGGATCTCTTGCGATGCGACGAACCGTCCGAACTTTATACCTTTATCCCAGTGTCTCTTGGGACTGTCAGGGAATCGACGATATCCGTCACCCACAGCCGAGTGACCGAACTCCGAACTGCCCTTACCTCAAGAATTCAAGTCCGTCCAAAAGGGCATGCAATATGGGACATGCGGAGTAATGCCAGGGATGGCATCCTTTCCGAACCCTTGCCGCATCGGGTTCCTGGGCGGAGCTGCGGGAGATGAACCGGTGGGGACGAGGCCCGCTCCCGGTGATCCATTCTCCTGACTTCATCAGCCTCGAATGACCCACCGAAGTCATCGCGAGCGACGCATTGAATGGTCCGGGTTGGAGAATTACAAAGAACTCTCGACTCTTTGATCAACATGATCCTCGACTTCCTTGGGAAGATCTGTCAATCCGATAGGCGATTGCTGATCGCAACACGACAACATCAACAAGTTCAAGATAACTCGATGTCAAACAACATTGAGGAATCAACACTTACCTCTAGCCGAGGGGTTGTCGCTCAATTGGCTATTCGACGCACGGAGATTGGCACCCATTCTTGCCTAGGGCTTACAGCCATTGCCCAATTGCCGATGGACCGGCAGTTAAAGCCCATGAAGGCTAACGGGAACAACAAGAGTCCTTTTCGAGAGTAGTGTATACTTGGAAATCAGCTGGCCGGGAACACCTTGGTACGACACACACAGACGGGCTGGTTCAAAATTGTAACAGGTCCGACTCTCTGAGATGGCCTCCTTTTCGTGTCTCTAGAAGAGGACTGAGGTCGTGAAGTCGTCGAATGCTGTCGTCGTGGAATTGACAACCCCATCCGGAACCCCGCCCCCAGATGACGGCGAACCGACAACCCGGGATCATCACCAAAGTCAAACAAGGTATATGCCGGCTTCCTTCTCCTCCCACACTTATTTTCTCTCTCCCATGTCAGTATGTAAAATGATTGGTTGCATTTCTTCCTCGCTTCCCAGACGAGGCGACTCCCATTCCCCAGAGCTGAGTGGCTTGATGGACGAATGCACCACTGATGGTGCCATCTCCCCTCCTTTTCGATGACAACCAAATCACTCGCAAGAAAAGCGGTTATTATTTCTTTCTTTCTTTTCTTGTTGTTTTGCCAAGAGCCGTTCCGTGAGAACCGAGGTGGCTTGATCAATGCGATTTGGCGCAGCATGACATTTTGACGCCATAACCAAAAGGGAACCGAAGACAGGGGGAATGAAACGCACTAAGATTATCACTTCGGGAAAAGTTGCGCGGTCCGAATTTCGAGGAAATGATGGGAGGCCGAGGAATGGAAGTGTAACCACCAAATCCGAAGACACGAACCAATCTTTTGCCTGGCTGGATCTAAACGGCTTGTTCCCTCTTTCTCGGCTGGAAGGCATTCGTCATCCCATGATGCTGCCATAGCGGAAAAGGGGAAGGGCTGGTCTGTTGACGAGATTACAGTGTGTCGTGTATGAGGGAAATGCTTGAAATTGCTTTTCCGTAGGAGGTGCCAAGTGTAGGTTGCGGAGAATGGGAAAGGGTCTTTCTAGGAGCCCGTGGTGGTTCTATTTCTTGTCATTCTGAAAACAACATTTCAAATGGTTCCAGTTGCGATGGAGTCGATCAATGGCGGCGGCCTAGGCTAAAGTTGACGGACTTGACATCCGGTTCTTGACCCAGCTCCTCGGTTCAGCAGATGGACCCATATGAAAAGATCCCAAGAACTTACAGGAAGGCGAGAAACAGACGGGGGCCAACAGTTGGAAGCGAATGCATGACGACGCCAAAGCCGGCTCCAGACTCCGAGATCCTCGTGGCAGCGGCTGGGGAGAGAGTCAGAGAGACGGGACAGGCCCGGGCTGGGGCCATTGTAAGGAAAATGGGATTCGTTAATAACCCCGGGCTGAATGAACATATGCACTTTGTCTGCCTCAATAGTGTTGAAAAAGACGACGACGACTACCGTACGGCCTGGAAGAACTTTGTCGAAAAAGAAAGAGGTGACCGGGACATGCGGATTGAAACAGTTAACAGTCCAGTCCCGAATCCGAAAGAGAAGCTGCTAATGCAGTGCTGCTAATGCAGTGCTGCCGAACGCTTAGCGGTGCTCGGGCTACTCCACAACGCACTTGGGGCAACTGCAGCGCCGTTACATTGGCCCTTGTGTTAGTGGCTCCAGAACCCCTCCAGAACCCCCAGCGAATTCTTCCACCCCCACCACACTTCTACTTGCAGCAGCAACCGAGGACAGACGGGACATGGGGGTTTCCATTTCTCTCGCCATTCATCCAATCCGTCCAGCTTGGCTGTCGACGGCACTCAGTGCCACTGGGAAATAACTTTTCGGCCCGTACAACCACACTTTGTCAAAACTCCGAACGTTCGCGGCATTTCCCTCTTTCGACGGTACCACTCTCCTCCCACTCTTCCGCTCTCGCTACCCGGCAAAGAACATGTCGACAAGGGGATTGGTATTGTTCCTACACTTTGGAGGGTATACGCGAGTGGTATATACGCGGCGCGGCCGGCAACCAAGAGGCACCAAGAAATACCCAAGACTGGCGCCACCAGCCGCAAAATGTTACCCTCGTCAATGCAAGTGATGCGGAGTACCTTAATTACCACGAGTCCATGCTAAACCGACCTTGTCTTCTTCACCTCCTCCCGACCTGCCGGCTAGGCCAAGGCCCCCTTGATCCCCGGTCTCACCTCCTCGGCCACTCCACACTCCACAGAACATGTCGGCGGCCTGGAACTCCCCAGTCCCCGACTTTTACTCGGGTGCGCCTTCGACCTCTGGGGATGAGGTTCCATCGCCATCATTCCGGTAGCACCACCAAGGGCGACATGGGATGTAACGCTAAAGCAGAGAGTGGAAATACTACCTTGTTTGGGTGAATTCACCGAGAGCCCACCATGGCCCCGGGAGGTTAACAGGGGAACAACGGCAGGGAATGCCAGTACGGAGAAAAGTACTTATGGCGATGATCCCCCAGGTTGATCAGCGGTTCTTTCCTTTCTCCTCACAGAGTACGGTGATTTCACTCTTTGTCAAGCCATCTCCAACATGGCTATCTCTTCGCTCCGCCGGGCTCTGCTTCTAGCAGCTGCCGCCGCCTTGCCTTTCTCCCAGCTTGTTGCTGGCCAGACTATTCAAACTGAGGAGGGTGTTGTTTTGGGTTCGTCTTCCGCCCCTCTTGCTACACGTGGTCACCACTGACACAGAGAACAGAGGCCAACGAAAGACCGTTGCCCCCGCCGTAGAGGTCGTCACCGCCGACTCCAACGCCCCTGAGGCCTTTGTCTTGACTGACGATGTCATCGCCAACCTTACCGACCTCAACCTCTCAAACATCACTCTCTTCGCTTTCCCCGAGGAAAATGGCACCTCCGAGGTCCAGAAGCGCACTCTTTTTGCGGGTTCAGGCTGCAAGACCGCTCCCGGTGACTTCCTCTGGCCCAACCGCCTCACTTGGAAGGTCTTTGACCTCCTGACCGGTGGCGCCCTCATCGAGACCGTCCCCATCGGCGCCGTCTGCTACCCCAACTCGGGCGTCTACAACGCGGCCAAGTGCCAGAACATTCTCGCCAACTGGACGTCTTCCGATCTCCACTCCTCGGATCCCACCTCCATCATGTCCCCCATGTTCCAGGGCGAGACCTGCATGCCCCAGAACGGTAACTCATCTACTTGCACGGTCGGCGGGTTCCCCGTCTATGCCGTCAAGGCCACCAATGTTGCTCAGATCCAGCTTGCCATCAACTTTGCCCGCAACCTGAACCTCAGATTGGTCGTCAAGAACACCGGACATGATTTCCTCGGCAAGAGCACCGGCTACGGCGCCCTCTCAATCTGGACTCACAACCTCAAGAAGCTTGAGTACGTCAAGTCCATCAAGACTCCTTCCTACACCGGTCCCGCCTTCAAGATCGGCGCCGGTATCCAGGTCCATGAGCTCTACGAGGCTGCCAAGAAGTACGGCGTCACCGCCATCGGTGGAGATTGCCACAGCGTCGGTGTTGCCGGTGGCTTTACCGCCGGTGGTGGTCACTCTCCCATGTCTTCCATCGCTGGTCTCGGTTCCGACCAGGTTCTGTCGATTGACGTCGTCCTTCCCAACGGCCGCTTCGTCACCGCCGACGAGACTCACCACACCGATCTCTTCTGGGCTCTCCGTGGTGGCGGCGGCGCTACCTTTGGTGTCGTAACGGGTATGACCGTCAAAGTCTGGCCCAAGACCAACGTCTCCGGCATGACCTTCACCGTCGTATCCGGCAACGGCTCCGCGCTCGCCAACGACGTTTTCTGGGAGGGCATGTACGCCTACTGGCGGCACTTCCCGGAGTACGCCAAGGTGGGCACGCAGGGTTACTCGCAGATCTTCCCCTCGGGCACCGGCGGGTTCATCTTCCTAATGGTCCCCTTCTGGGTTCCCGGCATGAAGCTCGCGGACTTCAAGACCTTGGTGCAACCTTTACTCGACGAATGGACCGCCATCGGCTTCAACGCCGGCTTCGTCGACGGCCCCAAGTTCTTCGAGTACGATAACTACTACGACGCCTGGATCGCAAACTTCCCTCTCGAAGCCGTCGGTACTACCTCCATCCGCACCGCTTCGCGCCTCTTCCCCGCCAAGAACTGGGAAGACGAGGAGACGCTTACGGGCATGATGAACGCCGTCCGCTCCGTCATCGAGGACGGGTCCGTTATTATCCAGTATAACTTCCAAGTGAAGGCGCCGGCCGGCACCCCCGACAGCGCAGCCAACAGCCACTGGCGCGACGCCCTCTGGTTCGGCATCTTTGGCGCCGGATGGGATCCTAGCCTTGATGCTGCGGGCGTGGAGGCCATCAACAGGAAGATCACCGAGGACTGGATGGGTAGACTTAGGGTTTATGGCGCCGGTGGATATCTCAATGAGGGCGACGTCATGGAGCCGGGGTTTGGAGAGGCGTACTTTGGAAGCAACTATGAGAGGCTGCAGAAGATCAAGAAGGAGGTTGATCCCACGGGCCTGTTTTGGGCGCCGACTGCGGTTGGGTCAGAGGAGTGGGAGGTACAGGGACAGGAGGAGTGGTTGACGCTTCAGACGGGGAAGCTTTGTAGGAAGGCTGCTTGCTAGATGCCCGCACGATAGAGCGGTCTAGTTTCTGATACTATAGTTGTAAAAATAATCTGTACATATTGCTCACTCGTTATCTTCCAAGATGGATTTTCCACAGCTTGCTTGGTGGTTGGCTCTCATGGCAATGCTCCCTTCAACTAGCTCCCGTCGTCGACTCACTTTGCTAGATTCCTAACCACTGGGCGTTCGCCTCAGTCCGGATGGCAGTTGGAGACAAATCATCTTTCGGCTGTGGCCCGGATGATCCTGAATTCATCCCCATCCCTTCAACAGGGGGGCACGAAATGACATCCCGGCATGAATACCCATTCTCGGGATGCGGGGCCGTCTTGGCCGTTTCCCGTCCGGGACACTCAGTGGAGAAGGTGATTTCCGCTCCTCCCCGGGCCGTGGTGGGGTGAAGGGTCTCACTGTGGGTTAGCGGATTTTGTGGATTTGCTAGGCTTAACAGTGGGTGAGAGCGGGGAAGTTGATGGAAGCACTAACATTATTACGAGTCAATGACTTCTTGAAACATCCATTGCGAAACATTGGGAAATGTGATTAGATTGAAACGTCGATATTCAATAAAAGCTCTCTTCAGCATGTCATCCAATTTGTCAAAATGTCGGATTCGGAAGATACAATGAAGAGACTAACAACTCGACTAACGGAAGCCGACCGAGCGTGTTAAGACACTGTAACCTCGGCCCACCCGTTAACACCGCCCGGCGCAAAACTCTGAAATGCCCGTGCCGACCAAGCTTCCACTCCGACGTCACTTCATCCAATGTGAGGCCATCGACTTTCATCCCCGTTCACATAGTCAGGCGGTGAAAGACATCAATATCATCCGGGATCTGATGTTTCACGACGACGTCTGCGCACGATCACCACGAATAAACTTCCACTGCCTGGAATAAGCTCATCTTGTCTCACCTCGAGACCATCAAAAGAAGATCGCCAAGGAGAACCCCGAATTCCCTCTGGCGCACGGCACATTCCATTGGAGGGACCGTCAGCCATTATCATCAGCGAGTGATTGATCGGACACGGACGACGCTTCTTGTCGATCATTTCATCATTGGCATCAGCGCATATACGCACATACGTTCATGGTTCAGGGACAACTGCGACAAGGTGCATACATACGTATCCCCGGCCGCCGCCCCAGCGGAACGGCTCGACGCTTGACGGTTGATGCTCGAAGGGTCTGATCCCACCGACTGCGGCAAGGGTCGGGTGTAGACGTTCCTGCTTGTCTCCTGCTTTCGAACTACATCGGCAACTTCGTCGCGACACTTCACGACGACACCTTCAATCGCACATCAAACCACCAGCCATTGAGTCCGCCATATACCGCTGTCCAACGCCCTTCACCGGCTTTCTCTCACCTCATCCAAATTGACTCACAACACGATACCGACACAGATAACACCCGGCCCCACACAATCCCACGTCTCAACCGGATGGCCAAACCACCACCGGTTGCCAGCCCTCATGATGACGGGCAGGCCACACCACCTCCTCCTCCATCAACTCAACCTGGCCTCGCCGCTCGTCTCAAAGCCTACTTCCGCCCCGGCACCTCTTCCTCACCCCTCGAACGCAACCTCCTCCTAAAAATCGACTTCTTCATCCTAACCTTCTGCTGCCTCTCCTACTTCCTCAACTACCTCGACCGCACCGCCTTGTCAAACGCTTACGTCAGCGGCATGAAAGAATCCCTTTCCTTTCGCGGTAACCAACTAAACCAGATAAATACTTGTTTCACCATCGGCTATGTCCTTGGTCAAATCCCCAGCAATTTATCGTTACACTACGTTGCTCCAAGGATATTCTTCCCGGGTATGATGGTGTTGTGGGCTGCGCTTACCATGGTCACGGCGGCGGCGAGGAGGCCGGGGGATATCATGGCTATTAGGTTCTTTCAGGGGATAGCGGAGAGCACGACGTTTGTTGGGACTCACTACATACTGGGGAGCTGGTATACTGAGAAGGAACTGGGGAAACGGTCGGGGGTGTTCACGGCGAGTGGATTGGCGGGCACGATGATTGGGGGGTTTGTGCAGAGTGGGATTCATGGGAGCATGGATGGCTTAAGGGGGATGGAGGGGTGGAGGTGGTTGTTCATTATCGACGGGATCATTACATTGCCTGTGGCCATCTATGGGTTTTTGTTGTTTCCGGATACACCAAAAACGACGAGGGCGCCGTATTTAAGTAGGGAGGAGAGGGAGTTGGCTGTGGCGAGGATGGTTAAGCAGGGGGAGCCGGAGGTGTCACGAGCTTCGAACGATACCTTGGTCGATAACGAATCTTCGTCGCCGTCCGCCACCGGCCCGGACACATCCACGGAACAAGCCACGAAGCAACATGAAGCTGACCACAAGCCCACCTCGCAAGCACATCCGGACCCAACTGACTCCCACGAGTCCCGTCTCGAGCCTCAACCCACCGCAGCCTCCGCCACCGCCGCCACCGAGTCCTCCCTAACCCGCACCCACCCTTTCTCCCTGAAATTCCTCTGCTCCCTCTTTTCCAGCTATCACTTCCCCTCTTTCATCTTCCTCTGGATCCTCGCCGGAGAAACCGAGTCCTTCTCTTCCAACGCCCTATTATCTCTCTACCTCAAATCCCACCCTAGCAACCTATCCCCTTCCCCATCCAGCCCTTCCCCTCCACCAAAATACACCGTTTCCCAGCTCAACAACTACCCCACGGGTGTCCCCGCCGTCGGAATTGTATCAACCCTCTTCTTCGCCTTCATCACCGACTTGTACCCAAGTCACAGGTCAATAGTCGGTTACTTTATCGGCATAATCGGCCTTTTAACCCCGTCCCTCATCCTCTCCGCCCAAAAAGGACACTTCGGTCCTCCAGCCGGCCAGAGGGCCACAGGCGTAGTTATGGCCTCTTACTACCTAGCCGGCTCAGTCTACGCGTGCCAAGCAACGTTCTTCGCATGGGCCAACGACGCAATGACGCGGGATGGCAAAGAGGCCGTGTTCAGGGGAGTCGTCCTGGCGGGCATGAATCTGGGGAGTAATGCTGTGAATGCGTGGTGGAGTATATTGTTTTATGGAGCGGGAATGGCGCCGTGGTTTGAGAGGGGGATGTGGGCGATGATTGGAACTAGTGTGGCGTTGGCGGGGTGGACGGGGTTTTTGGAGGGGATGGAGAGGAGGGCTAGGAAGAGGAGGATGAAGGAGCGGGAGGTTGTGAAAGAGAGGCAGGAGGCGGGGAGGATACGGGGCGGAGAGGGTGGTGATGAGCCGGTGATGGCCGACGAGAAGAAGGGGGTGGCTGATGCGTGATGATCTTGGTGTTGGTTGTACATATCTGGCTGTTTTGGATATTGATAAGGTACTTGGTACATACACCTTGACGCTTTCTACGATGAAATTGGATACCTGTACAAAGATCTGAGCCAAAGCAGAAGTGTTACGTCTCTCAAGCATGGAAATGATACGAATACGAATGCAAAAGTCAAGACAAAGCAAGATGAGTAAAGTGGTCTTGCTTCATTCTCCTGTTATACCCCAATCGCCATCCCAAGCCCCCGTCCGCCGGATGATAAGTCATAACCGATCATCGAAAGCAAGGCAGGTATCGTTGAAAGTAAGGTACCAGAGTCGTGCTATCCATTGTACTCGTCAAACGTAACCAAGATTCCCTCTTAAGTCCCTATCAGCCGAATGACATGGAAGTTTTAACCCATCATCGAAGTCAAGACAGGTCTTGTTGAAAGCAAGGTAGTAGACTCGTAATGCCCATTCTACCCTCGAAACGTCAACCGGTTCTCCTCCCACTGCTCCCAAGTCTCTTTCAGCCGGATAACATGTCATCACCTATCATCCACGGCATGACAGGTCTTGATGAGCAGCCAGCCAATATCCGGTGTGAACCTCCATCATCTAGATCGCAACCCAACGTCGCCTATGTGCCATGTCCTCCAGTAACACTCCCCAACCCTTCAATAATTCTCCCTGTGGCTGGCGTGAATCTGAAATCCGGTCATCAAGAGAAGAATCATCTGCAGGGGCATGCTGAGCGCAAAACAGAGGGAACTAAAGGTGATTCCCGCACCAGAGGGTCTAGTGGTGCCGATGAATTCGAGTGGTTAGTTTGTGTTTATCAGAATCAGAGAAGCAAGCGGCTTCAACTTTTAAGCTCGCTGGAGGGGTAGGAAGCGCGGTAGGTAGTTTGGGTAGAGAAACGGGGGTAGAGGAGTAATGGGGGAGTGACTGAAGCTTGAAGAAATGTCGGCGCAAAACAAGGAAAAGAACTTACGGAGCAAGAGGCGCATCGGCACCCAGAACAGCTCCCAGAACAGCCGTCGTAAGAGGTACAAGTGCTATTGGAGGACAAGATGTGTTAGCTCGATGTTCTGGTCCATATCGCAACTGGCGACAAGCGACAGGAAGCCCAAAAGCGGCCGGGGGGGGAGAGGCGACACCCACGACCAAGTGAAGCAGAAGCGGCGACGGACAAAGGCGCGAAGAGGAAGGAGAGTTGCTTACCAAGGACCCATTTCGACGACAAGAATCTGTTGATCCGTCTTCGTCCAGGGAGTCGTAGCTGGGCGTAAAACAGGAGAAGGCGCACTTCGTAGTAAAATCCGAGGCCTTGTAAAAAGGCCTCGAAGGCTTGAATGCGGAGAAACAACCGCAAAGATTCAAGGCGCAGGAGCAGATGGTCGCGCAGTCGGAGGCGTAGCTCCAGGAGTTGGAGGCGCAGCAGTAGAGTGGAAGCTCGGGGACGTGGTGCTCTTGGTCGATACACGTGAAGAGCAGGCTGCTGGCGCGGGCGCGAGGGATATGCGCGGAAGATGAGAGTGGGAGGCACGAAAGAAGAAGAGGAAGGAGGGACTCTCAAGGGCGGCGCGGGGTTGGGTCTTCTCATACCCTCCCACTCTCGGCCCGGTGTAGGAGGAAGCCAGAAGTTGCTGGTGGCTGGGTTGGTCATCTTGGCCTGCCACGGTTTTTGAGTTGTTGTTGTTATTGGGTTGGAGGGAGGAAGTTGCGATGGATGAGGGATCCATGTCTCGGATTAAGAGGTGGGGTGGCTTCCTCTTTTGCGTTTGGTCTGCCCTGATGGCGGGGGGTGAAGTGAAGTGCACTCGCCGGTGACCGGGCGGTGTAAACGGCACACGGTTTCTGCCACGGCGACACTTTGGACCTGGGCCTTCCATCCAAGTGGTACACCGAGGAAGAAACCTTTGATCTCTCCTAGTAGTGAAAAGCTCGCCCCCTGCAAGCCCTCCTACGCTGCTTCCACCCATCTCCGTTTATGTAAAATCGATACTAAATTACTACTAACTTTTTTCATCTTGAATATTAAATTCTTCATCTCATCTACTAATTCCCAAAAGGCCATATTCTTCCCCCAAAAGGCCATGTTCCTCTCCCATGAGGCCTTCTGCTTC